CAGCATGGAGCAGAGCAAAGAACCACTGTTTATGTTGCATAATTCTTACACAGGTTGTTATCTCATATTTACATTCTTTTGTAGTGCTCTAACAAGTGCATGGGAGTTCACCTGTGCTAAGTCATGGTTACATAACTGTAGCCAACAGTGTGCCTGTGCAGACAAGTAGAGTCATGTCCTCAGTTGTCTTTAGACATCCCTGAACTGTGAAGCAGTCTGAGTGATTCCCCGCAACACTACATAGATTGGACTCTGAAAAGTAGGTAGTCTTCCATAGGGTAGCTCTTTTCGAAACCCATTAACAACTTCTAGACAAAGACTACCTCATGGTTCCCCTACTCGGAACCCCTCCTTACTGGTTGGCACTTTACTTCCTTGCCTTTATATCTTTCAGTGTGTAGGAGGCTAAGGGATAAATTGCTTGTGAGGTCCCCAAATACAGCATGGAGGCAGACATCAGCACAGCAGCAGCAGCAGGCAGCAGCAGAGAGAACAACTGTGTCTTTATCATCCAGCCTCTGAATATGTTGTTATGTTTACATTCTTGCATGCTGGCCTCACCCGCACGTGTGTGGTCATCTCATGCTAAGTCATTGTTACCTAAGTGTATCCTGTATTGCACCTGTGCTAGACAGCAGGTTCATATCCTCAGGACAGTGTTTGGCTACCTGCTCAGGACCCCTTCTCAGTCTCAGGCAGCTTTCTTTCTCTCAATAAGTATATTCTTCTGTTAATTTCTGTTGTTCCTAAAATTCAGTCTTTGAATTTACAGAACAAAAACCTCATATCAGACATAGCATACCTGGAGATTGATTTTGCTACGGCAATATCAGTATAAACTTTTCTCTTTCTGGAAGTCAGAGAAATCAGTTGTAGTTTATATTACACAATGTTGAACTCACCTTGCCAGGGATACCTGCATTGAAGGACTTTATCCCTGCCTTTAAGTGCTTCTTCTTTTTCTGCAAGTGAACTGATCTGTAATTTTGGTTATGGTATCGACAATGCATTAAGGAATTGAATCAAAATATTTCTTATGAATGGCTTATCACCAGCCATGGAGGAAGACAGATAGCAAAAATTCTTTGTTTTGATTTCTTCATTCAATCCAAAGTATGTACTTGAAAGAGTTTTGCCCTAGAAAAATTACAGGACCTCATAGTGGTAGTTCAAAGTGAAAGAAGGTGAACTCAGGGATGCTTACTCACATGGCCACTTCCTCTTTTCTCCTTGATTATAACACCCTCTTTCTTTCTGGGGCCTAAATAAAATTCCCATTAGCTCCTAGCATGACATCAATGTCCCCTCCAAGCACCACATCCAGTCAAAAGTCACATATACCCCATAACCCCATAGTCAGTCAGAAAAAAAAATAAAAGCCAAGCCCTTTGTGGCTGTGGGCTTGTCTCCATATTCTTTAAATAAAAGGCCACTTTTACATTCTTACATTCACCTTCTCTATTGTGCTAAGCTACCTCCTCAGTAATCTCAGTAATCTAACCCACTTTAAAGCATTTTCACCACATGATTTTATTCTATAAAGTCCCTATAAAAGACAGAGTCCTTTGCTATCTGCTCAGAATCCCTCCTGTTTCTCTCAGACAGAAGCTTTCTGATAGGATTTTTGGTGTAGTAAAGAAGAGAATATAAAGTCAAAATGGCCTTTATTCTAAGAATATGGAGAGAACCCCATGACCACTGGGGGTCTGGCTTTTTCTTTTGGAAGTGTGTGGGGGGCATACATATAGTTTTTGACTTGGGTGGTGCTTAAAGGTGGCATTGCTGATATGCAAGTAGCTGATTGAGATTCTTTTCTGGCCACAGGTCAGTTGAATAGGGAAAAGGAAAGTGACTTCCAGGTAAAAGTCCCCTGGTTCCACCTCTCTCTCCCAAAATGTCCTATCTAGAGCAAAATATTTTCACTTTCTCTCTCTCAATAAATATATTCTGCTCTTCAACTCTGTTGTTCCTAAAATTCATTCTTGCACTTTAGAGAACACAAACTCATACCAGACATAGAAGGTCAGAAATTGCATTCCACTTTATCACGGTATGGTTGCCTGTATTTCTGACTAACTCAGCTATCTGTAACTTTAAGAATTGTTTATCAATTTGACTTTGAGTAATTGTAGCAAATAAATGTTCTTAATGGATATAGGGAAATATATCATTAAATTGAAAAAAATTTTATCACAGTTTTTCTAGCTAGCATCAGCCAACATTTTCAACTTTCAAATATGTGGGAAAACAAAAACTAAAAACAACTCAGAAAATAGCAATCCTCTAGGGGACAGTACATCATTCACTGTAATTGCCATGTTATCTGCAGGTATTTCACAGACCAAAAAAGAAACATTGAGCCTCTTAATTAACAAGCATAAGTTTCAATAAATGTGCTCACAGCACTGCATCGTTGACAACTGTGAATTTTTTTTGTATGAGGGATTAAACTCATGACCTTGTGCTCTCTAGGCAGCTCCTTGTTTCACTGAGCTCAATCCCCAGCCCAAACAACTTTAGATACTAAATATGACTATTAACAATGTTTACTTTGCAATTGACATATTTAATTATAAATTTTGTAAACCTACATTTTCACGAAAGAAATTATTTTCTTTCCTTGCAGTTTAAATTACATTTTTTTTTTAGATACCAAGGATCAAAGTTACAACCTAGCACTTTCCAGGCAGGCATTTCTGCCTGCTGAGCTAAATCCCTGGCCTGTATTAATGAATATTTTTAAATGTATAAACATCAGTTAATTGACTCAAATACTACTTTTAGCACAGGATGTCAATGCAGAGAGAAACTGATATACAATCAGAGGAACTGGAACCTCAGAGAGTCAATGCAAAAAACTAAATACAACAATCACTGTTACAGGCACAGGTGAAGAAAGCCAGAACTGAAGATGAAGATGCAGTGACCAGGTCTACATACTCCTGCAGAGAAAAAAAAAACAGCTTGAAATGTACCACAGTTACCACAACCTCCTCCAGGAAGTTCAGATAAGCATCAATTACCATACTCAATGACCAGAACAACTGGACTATCGTTCCCACAAAATGCCTTGGCTCTTTCCACATACCTTTTCTGACTGATTTGTTCCCCTGATGAATAATATTAGTTAAGCAGCTATAAGCTTATAGGTTGATTGTAGTCTGAGACACACACTGTACCCACATTGTGACTTTCCTGTATAAATGACCCCTGACAATAGGTCTGTGGCCAAAACACTGAAGACCACTCCTGAAAATCCAGGGATATTCTTCTCTCTTTTTTTCTAAGAAAATTTTTGATCTTCTTTTGGTTTGTAACTTCTTCACTTCTCAAAGTTGTGAGCCATTAAATTTGGTGCATTTGACATCAAACAGGGCAGGATTATATTTCTCTTATCTCAATCTAAATATGAAATGTCTGTTAAAGGCCGTGTTCCAAAGCCTGGATATCAATCTGCTTGTTTGCCTTGAGCTTAACATTTCCATGAGCTTTTATAAGTCCTCCATTTAGTGAACTGCAAATGTATTGGAGGAAGGAGGTCACTGTTGTGCTGTAGTACTATAGTTGTCATTCCTAAATCTGTGATTGTCACTTCCTCTTGCATGCCACTACATGGCCTTCCTTCTTCTGCATAATCATTCAATAATTCCCATTTTGCATAAGTCAACTTTCACTCAGCTCTATTATTGATTTTTTAAATAGTCTTTCTATCACCTTGGTTGTTTATTATTTTCATTTTAGTTTTTTGCTTTAAAGACATAGTCTCACTTTGGAGTCCTGGCCAGCCTTGCACTCACTATGTAGGTTAGGCTGTCCTTGAATACATGGCCATTCTCCTGTTTCAGCCTCTTCATTGCTGGGGAAAAGAGGTGGGCATTATAGTACATGGCATTTGTCTTTTTCTCCTCTCCTTTAAACTACTATTCTTTCATTTCAGTGGCACTGTCATTTAATCCTGGTGTTTGCTTGTGTCAGTAAAGGTTTCTGAAGCTTGCGTTGAGTTTGTGAACAACAATACAGGAATCCAAGCAACCCATTTGAGAAATGTGGAATTTCATTAGATGGTCTCAGGACTACTTGTATACAGAACCCCCACACCCATTTCAACATCTAAACAAGAGGCTTTGAACTGGAAAGTTACAGATGTTTTAAAAGATAGAATCACAAAAAGATCCTGTTGGAAATCATTTAGCTAGAATCTTATAATAATTTTTGGATGACAACTGTATTCTGCTTCTTCTGTTGAGCAGGTCAATTTTTTTCTTTGGGTATAGCTCATTTTGCTTTTCTCCTGGGACTTCTACCCTGTGATTTTCCATTTTTCAGGGTAAAATACAGGGCACTAGTTAAACACAAAGCTCAAGATGGCATCTATTATGACAAGCTACAACACAGCTAAGTTACAAGCCTCAATATTTTCTACGGTAAAAACACACATATCTATAATCCCAGCACTCAAGAGGCTGACACAGGAGTGCTGCTTTGAGGTTAGGGCAATTCTGCACTCCATAAGGGGTTCAAATCTAGCTGATATACATAGAGAAAACATGTCTCAATAAAACAAAACTAAACTAAACAAATAAAACCAAACAAAACAGCTGAATGGAGACTGATTTCTTGAAATCTTAATTCCATATCTTGGGGATTAATTTCTTGTATATACACATTTTTGAGACAGCAAATTTGATGCTATATTGCAACTCACAGCTAATGTAACAGCCAAATAGGAGCACTGATTCTTGTGCTGAGTCACTGCAAGAGTCCCTGTGCACTGTCTGTAATGCAGAGCTCATAGTGAGAGCCTGCAGGACCAGCATCCATAAAGCACAGAGGTAGACAAATAGCTCATCAATCACTCTGATGTACTACCAATGATATCTCTTCAAATTTCAATTAGGCCACTAAGTCCTTTGTTCTTAATATACTTAAGCAGCATTTTGAGATTTCAATTTGGTTTTGTTAGGGCCGACGCCGCAGGGAAAGAGACCCCAAGGACTCAATTCTTGGTGAGGGAAAAAAGTTTATTTCCATGCGCATGGGGTCCCTCAGGCAAACAAGTGCAGAGGGGCCCCGAGGGGAATTTGTGTAGGGTTTTTAAAGGTACATGTAGGAGGCAAGTAAGTTTACAGAAGCAAATCGCATTGGTTAATTTTGAGCGGCGCAGGACCTGGCTAATGCTGATTTGAGGGTTTGGGGCTGAGTAACCATGGAGACCGAGGGTCTTGGGTTGACCTTAGAGTGCCAGGTGCTCCCTGGTCCTGTTTATACAGTATATTCTTTTGCTTATCTCTATCTTTATAGAGAACAGAGCATTTAGTGGTTAATGACTAGCAGAGACATTCCTTTTGGCCCTGCTCTGACTATCTCCTGGGAAAGGTTTAGGGAGTGAAGCACTCTTTACTGCTCTGTTCTGAGAGCTCCGGGGAGTTAGGGAGTCAACCCTTTCATTCCCCGCTCTGGGGAGTTAGGGAGTTAACCCTTTCATTCCCTGCTCTGGGGAGTTAGGGAGTTAACCCTTTCATTCCCCGCCCTGGGGAGGGGGTTGTAGCAGGGGGGTCGACTCTCACATTCCCCCCTTTTATTTCTCCAATGACTTTTAATCCTAAAAGTCCTGTATAGGTAAGGGGTCATATTGTTGACGTAGCACCATAACTTTTACCTGAGAGATCTGAGCCCTCACAAACCGGGTTACTCGGTTAATGAGGCAAGGGGCTATAGCCATGACTATAATGAATCCGGCCAGGGGTCTCAATAAAGGGAGGATATAGGGCAGAATTGATTCTCGGAAAGAGAACACTTTGGCTTTATTTGAAGGGGGCTCTTGAGATCTGATTTTTTTTTCAACTTTTTTTTTATTGTATCTTTTACAATCCCAGTATGATCAGTGTAAAAACAACATTTTTTTCTAAGTGCGGCGCAGAGACCCCCCTTTTTTTTAAAACAAAAGATCTTTAACAATTGGTTTTTTTTTTTTTTGCTTACAGGGGGACCAAAGCCGCCATGTAAGGTCGGCATTAATGTTATTAAAATCAAAACAAGCAAGCTAAAACAGTTAGTCAATTTTTAACTTTAAGGGTTACCAGTCTGTTGTGTAGTCCACTGAGTATGTCCCTCGTTGTCTGCTGTTTCCAGTGGCTTTACATGAGTGTAGTGAATCCGCGCAGTTTTTCCTGCTATCTTGATGGCAGTGGGGGTACTGAGCACCACGGTGAAAGGTCTTTTTCAGCGGGGTTTAAGGGAGTCACGGTGGTGACATCGAACCAAGACTGGAGTCCTTGAGGCCTTGGTCTCTGAAGGCAGGTCCAAGTGTTTTTGTCTAAACAGCTGGTGGATCCAGGCCAACACAGGTTGGAGTGTCTGTAGGGACTTAAGATCTCGATTAGTAATTTCAGCTAATTTGTCTTTTGACAATCTTGGAACCAATGGCGGGGGCCTCCCAAACATGGCTTTAAAGGGGGAAATTTTGGAAACATATGGGGTATATCTAGTTCTTAACAGTGTAAAGGGAAGAAGGCTCATCCAATTATTGCCAGTTTTTGAAGACAGCTTAGCTAAAATGTCCTTGAGACTTTGGTTTATACGTTTTACTTGCCCTGAGCTTTGTGGCTGATAGGCACAGTGGAGTTTTAATTAATCTTTAATGTCTGGGCTAACTTTTGGGTGACTCGGGCTATGAAAGCCAGGCCATTATCGGACCCCATTGATAGTGGGAGGCCAAATCAAGGTATGATCTCATGTAATAGCCTTTTAACTACCACTAAGGCTGACTCAGACTTAGTAGGGAAAGCCTCTACCTAGCCAGTAAAAATGTTTATTAATACCAAGAGATAGCAGTGTCCCTGTAAATTAAGTTTTACCATGTCCATGAAGTTTATTTTTTAATGTTCTCCTGGAACAATTTTTTGATGTCGGGTGGTCTCCAACGCAGAGCTCTTGGCTGAGTTGACTAACAAACACTGTGGGCATCTGGAGCTCGAAGAGGTGGTCAGTTTGTAGAGTTTTGGAATAAAATACTGAGTTCTGAACAATTCTGTAAGGTGAAACAGCTCCCACCCTAGTGCCTCCAGTAACAGTACTTGTTTATCAGGTAACTGGTATTAGCCCCTTGGGGTGGGAGACTTTATTCCAAGTTGAGATGTCAACTGTAGGTCTTTTTTTTTTTTGTGTAGACTAGTTCTGACAAGGTCAGAGGACTAGTATCAGAGCAGTTACTTTCTTGGTTGACCCCTCTGATGTGGTTGTTATTTTTTATCTCTGGTTGGGTGAGCCTTGTAAGGAATAGCAACCCATTGAGGCAGCCAGACAGCTGCCAGCAAATCTAGAATCTGTGGAGCATTTTTAGATGGCTTCCCCGTATATGTACAGTAGCAAAGGGATGTCTTCAGTAAAAAAATGTTTACCCTCTTTTTTGTGGCTAGTTTTAGCCTTTTAGTCAAAGCAATAAGCTCCGCCTTTTGGGCAGAAGTGCCAGGCTCTACCCGCTTAACCCAGAGTACCTCCTTTTCGGTGGTCACTGCTGCCCCGGCCACTCGTTTGTCGTTTTGGATGAAGCTGTTTTCATCGAACAGTTGTTGGCATTTCCCAAAAGCTGGTCAGTAAGATCAGCCTGTAGGTTCTGCTGCAGTTCGAGGATGTCAGCACACTCATGGAGAGGTGTCCTTTGTTCCTCCGGATCATCATCAGGCATAAGGGTGGCTGGGTTTAAAGCTGAAGAAGTCTTGAACATCATTAACTCTGGGTCTAGAAGCAGGGCTTGACAGTAGAATTCTGGCATTTGAGAGCCTTTTTTAGGAGGGGTTTTGATAAGAGTCTCTAAACTGTGAGAGGTTACCACAGAAATCACTTGCCCAAAGCGAGTTTTTTTGTCTCCTTAAGTAACATTGTCACAGTAGCTAGTATTCTTAGGCAGGGGGCCATACTCCTGTTACTGGATCAAGTCTTTGGAGAGGTAGGCTATAGGCCTCTTTTAAGGGCCAATGTCCTGAGTTAGGACTCCTTTGGCAATGTCCCTGAGTTTATCTATGAACAAGATGAAAGGCTTGGTAACGTCAGGGAGTCCCAGGGCTGGGGCCTCTGTCAAGGCCCGCTTGAGCTGTTGGAAGGCCTGTTTACATTTATCAGTCCAGTTCAGCGAATTTTGAGTTTCTCCCTTATGGGAGTCAGTCATATAGAGGCAAGCTTTTCAGTAAAATTTAGCCTACAGTATCCAACTGCCCCCAGAAACTCTCGTCTGTTTTTTAAAAGTTTTTTTTTTTTTTTAGAGCAATTTTAACACCTTGGCTATCTTTTTGTAAATTTTTTAGTTCTCAAAGACCTTTTTGTGCTATCTCTATTAACTGGCTGAGGGGCATTTTTTTAAACCTTTTAAACCTTTGTAATTTTTGTCTAACATGTGGGGCCGACTGAGTTACAAAGAGAACAACTGGCAATATTGGGAAACCTCCTTACCTCTGGATGTCCAGTCAGGGTGGCACAAAAGGAGAACATGGTTTTGGCATTCCGGATCAGAGAGCCGGCTTCATCTGGATGGCACACTGTTTTTTTGTCCAAGGGTGTCACGTGACAGGCCATTATTTTATTAAAATTATATTTTTAACAAAAAGGGCTTTTTCATAGGTAACAAAATTGTGCTGTATAATCTCCCAGATGTTTACAGCGCATGTAAGAACTTGTATCTTATTTTTAATATCACCTATAATCTCATTTTAATGAAAACATTTTGCAGCAAAGTACAATCTTATGTATACTTTTACCAAAACTGATCTAATACTGTCAAATTCTGAACACATTTACTTTTTGTCAAACCTGTTATTTGTAGTACTATAAACCAAGACAAATAAAATTCACATCCTCTTGAGCCTTCTACAACTTACAATAATACCTCTCAAACTAAGCTTTAATCTTTTTTTACATTCTGGCATAGCCAGACACCTTTACTTGAAGACCACTCTCTTTGTCCCTCTTTTTACTATTACCAGTCAATTACCTTTTTTTCTCACTTCTCAGACAACATCAAAACTCTCAACAAAACCCTTGAAGTCACCTTCTAGTAGCCCAAAACATACTTATTTTATGTCTTTTTACCACATAAAAATGTTGTATTTTAAAAACAAAACTGTAACCTTTTAACTGGCTCAAATATAGTACCGCCTGGTTTTTACTTGGCAAAGTTGACATGACTCTTAACAACCATAGATATACATATATATGTGCACATGTTTATATTTTCACCAGAGAGAAAAAATACTCCTTTTAAAAGGCATGCCGAGGTTGCAAGAAATCAATTGAAGTCTTACATATTAAACAAGGTGCCACAACATTAAAGACACAAACAAAGGGAGCTTCTTGCATAGTTTGGTCAGCTAAAGGAAATAATTTTTCTTATCATGAACCTTGAATCTAATAAGCCATATGGATCCTACAACAGAAATGGGCAAGAAGCCCCTAAGTTAGTAACAAGTTTAAACAGGCAACCAAGGAGAGGGCGGAGGAAGGAAGGGTTTTACCCACAGTGGGGGCTCCTCCCTGAGGTCTTGTCATACCAAGATGTAGGCGATCCGGTCGGGGTGGCCCTCTCGTCCAGGGCAGAAGATGATGTTCTTAACTGCTAAGATGAGGGGAAGGTGGAAAGTCCCCTCCGGTAGCCAACCCACGGAGAATGTGGGCCACTCAGACGAGCAGAAAGTCTGTCATTTACTTTTTTAACCTGTAAGGAGAGATTGTGAGCCCTCTCTCGAGCCTCCGACCAATGGTTGAGGCTGAGGGACAATGGGGACGATGTCGTCTGGCCCATGATGTTCTGAAGACAAAGAGTGGTTAGCGTACACGCGACACAACAAATAACCGTTCACAACAGTCACAACATACAGGACAAACAGGCCGGCCACCTCACTCTCACGCATTAGTTTCACATCAAACGAGTCACCTTAGGGGGTGCCTCCAGATTGGCCCGGACGGACCACAGATTGGGAATGAAATTCCCCAGATTGGCCCAGACGGACCACAGATTGGGAATGAAATTCCCCAAACGAGTCACCTCAGAGGGTGTCTCCGAATTGGCCCTGACGGACCACAGATTGGGCCCCAAACCGATAGGAAAATCCTATCACAGACGGTGAGTCACGGAAAACCGTGTGGGGCGTCCCCCGGTCACCAGAGAACAGAGAACAGATAACAAAAACAGGTAACAAAAATTGCCCGGTTGACTCGGGGCATAAAATACCGGTAGATTGATCCTCAGAGTAAAAATAAGAAGCGACCGGTCGTACTCACCCACCGCAGAGCCGTTGAGGTCACCTCCCGTGAGACGTGCTATCTCGCTGGGGCCTCCAAGATGTTAGGGCCGACGCCGCAGGGAAAGAGACCCCAAGGACTCAATTCTTGGTGAGGGAAAAAAGTTTATTTCCATGCGCATGGGGTCCCTCAGGCAAACAAGTGCAGAGGGGCCCCGAGGGGAATTTGTGTAGGGTTTTTAAAGGTACATGTAGGAGGCAAGTAAGTTTACAGAAGCAAATCGCATTGGTTAATTTTGAGCGGCGCAGGACCTGGCTAATGCTGATTTGAGGGTTTGGGGCTGAGTAACCATGGAGACCGAGGGTCTTGGGTTGACCTTAGAGTGCCAGGTGCTCCCTGGTCCTGTTTATACAGTATATTCTTTTGCTTATCTCTATCTTTATAGAGAACAGAGCATTTAGTGGTTAATGACTAGCAGAGACATTCCTTTTGGCCCTGCTCTGACTATCTCCTGGGAAAGGTTTAGGGAGTGAAGCACTCTTTACTGCTCTGTTCTGAGAGCTCCGGGGAGTTAGGGAGTCAACCCTTTCATTCCCCGCTCTGGGGAGTTAGGGAGTTAACCCTTTCATTCCCCGCTCTGGGGAGTTAGGGAGTTAACCCTTTCATTCCCCGCCCTGGGGAGGGGGTTGTAGCAGGGGGGTCGACTCTCACAGTTTCACAGAACAAAACATAAATAACATCAAATATGGTACATAAATAATAACTCAAATGTTCATGGAAAACTGCTGTATGTAAAAAACATATAAACAATTAAACCAAGTGCAAGCTTCAAATTATACCTCAGTGTCAACAAGTGATTACTTTCCACTCAGATAGAAGAAATCTATCTTGGGAGGCTGATGCAGGAGAACTTCCTTGAGTTTGGAGCTAGCCTAAGTTACAGAGCTGTCTGAAATAGAGAAACCCTGACTGAGACACCCCACAGACAATGTGAAACTTGAAAAGTGACTGCATAGGACACTTTTGGTTTGCTTTAAAAAATTTAGCCATACAATATAGAAAAATTCCACAATGTTCAACATTTTCTGAGGAAAAATGTTGATATCATCCATAATATACAGAAAACACTTTCAGAGCTGGGTATTTAACTAGCAGCATGAAAACCTAACTTGCAAGCTTGAGATCATGAGTTCCATCCTTGGCACAAAAAAAAATTGAAATTTTACCTTCATGATACTGGGTCATAATTTGAGATAATCAAAACTAGATCTCAAGTGAAGAACACAGAATTCATGGGTTGACAGGGATGTGGAATACCGATTGTTAGCAGAGCTGGTGTTATTCACCTCAAGGAAGAAATCATAATTCAACTTTAACTGCATGCTTACCCTAAGAACTACCTGACTTTCAGGGAAGACCCTCTCTGTTGTATGTCCTGTTATTTGCACACTGTGTCCTGCCAGTCACCTCCACATCCTTTTCATGCTCCTGTGATCCATGCTAAGCAGAAAACCCTTCATGTCTAGACTATTGCTATCCCTGCACAATTTCAATTTAGGGCATCTCCTTTATAGGAATTAGTAAAGTCCATCACAGAGCATTTCCATATTTAAACAATGTATATGATCTACCAAGCTATTAAATTAGCTCTTAATTCAGAGATAACACCCATATTCCTTTCCATTCAGAAGGATATCATGTATTTATATGTTCATGCAAATGACTACATTTAGGCATTTTTCAGTGAGAATTTAACAGGCACCCCTTTCTAGAATTTGTCCTTAGCAAGCACCCTTTACCCTGCCCTTGATGACACTTTTATATCTGCTTTTTTTCCCTCAAAATTCAAACCTCTATGGCTGTTCTCACAAACATAGTCTATGAGCACATGTGACACATTAAGTATGTTCAGAAATTCTTTGCACAGGAGTTCACCAGGTGTTTGGAAAGCCTTCCTCCACTGAAGCACATCACTACACATCTCTGAATTCTCTTGATTTTGCCAACACCTGTCATGAGGTTGGAAATGTGAGAACATAACATACATTTAGGCAATCCCTATAAATACAAAAAAGTACAGGTTTAAGAAGTGCCATTGCGATATGAGGCCCTGCATTACATACATTAATAAACTTTAGAGCATCAGGATTGCTGATCCCTGGAATAAGAGCAGAGACCAAGCTAAGTACTGCTGCTCCAGCTACAAAATGCATCAGAGTCAGGGCTTCCCAAGCTCCTTCCACTGCTCCTTATGATGGAGGTGCCAGGACAGTAGAAAATTTCAAAGATGATAATCCATTCTGATGCTATCATATTTAATTCAGGGTTCTGGGGACACAGAATCACCCTTGTTCCCAGCAGGAGAAAAAGGGAAAGTGGATGACCCAAGGCCAATGCTAGAAGAGCTCAGGAGCTGACACTAACTAAATACCTGAGTCTACACACACCAGAACTGCTTGTAACCACTTGTAACTGTTTTTTCCCAATTCTGCCCTTTTTATGGGCTCCAATCCAAAGCCTCACCATTCCGTGGTTAGAGGGTCTCCCAGACTCTTTGCTGATCAGGCCACAGGACTTCGAAACCAGGAAATGAGATCCAGCAAGCATTCTGCTCCCAGTTTTGTATTCCAAACAGGTAAACAATGTCTACACACCAGAAAAGACCCAAGAGACCTCCTGCCACCGCTCACCTGATTGGACATTTCATATAGCCCGCCTCTTCATCACTGATTGACTGCTGCTCAACTGTTTTCTTTCTGAGTCCAAAATAAACAGGGAAAGGAACTCCTTCCTGCAAGAGAGGATCCCAAATGATAGAAAGTAATCAGAGACTTCTGAAGCTGGTTGTCTTCAACAGTGTTGATCTCAACTACACAGAGGAATATGTGTACCAAAGTGCCTTACCTCAGGCTTTTCATTTCCAAATCCATTTCATTTCAAGGATAAAAAGAAAAAATAAACTAAAACTAAATTTCAAAACATATGAATTGTAGGGCAACACTGGTATATATGTTGCACACTGTCATCCAGGATCATTCACCCAGAGCACAAGACATCTGTATTCAATTTTCCTAAAAGTACTGTTATGTGGAGCTGAGTTAGTTAATTATGATTAGCAATGAGAGAAGGTTGGGTCCTCTTAGGAGCCCATCCAGAAACCCAGATACCTTGCAGCTATGGAGAAGATGGACAACTCCTGCTACGGGCTAAGCCTCAAGACAGAATATCAACAAATTCATCCATATGCTAAGGACTGATATTCTAAATAGTTCCCTAGCACTATGAGGAAGTCAGGAGTCACCATTCAAAGAAATGTATCCTTATAAAGACTGACATTTTAAATAGTTCCTATCATCCTGATGACCTCAGTAGTGACCCTCCCAAACCCCTAAGGGAAGATTCACTGTTGCCTAACAATGCCTGCTTCCTATGTGACTCCCTTCCCCTTTTGTTCTCAATTTAATCAACTTTACCTGAACTATTTATCTTATTGGCTACCATAGCTCTGTCCCATCATTTGCCCATCTGCATTGTGAGTTCCCAATTTTCCCACCCTTCAAACCATCTCACCACATGATTTCACTTAAAGTCCTTGGAAAATAGTCTTTGCCCACCCAGTCAGGACAAATTTGCTCTCTCTCACACAGCTTTCTTTCTTCCAATAATTATATTATCTGGACTTCTGTTTTTTCTAAAATTCATTTTTTGACTTCAGAGAACACAAACTCATACCAGACATAGTAGACCTTGAGTTTCATTACCTTATAACAATAACAGTGTAAATTTTTCTCTTTCTTGAAGTCAGAGAAATCTGTAAATGATTGTATTCTTAAATGTTGATCTCAGCTCTTAAGGAGCATTTGCATTGAAAGGCTTTATCCTTGCCTTTTGGTTCTGCTTCTGTTTTCTGAATGTGAACTGATCTGTAGTTTTGTTTATGCTATCTTCAGTGCATTAAGGAAATGACTGGAAATTTTCCTTATGAATTGTTTACCACTAACCATGGGAGAAGACACATAGCAAAAATTCTTTATTTTCATTTCTTAATTTAAACTGAAGGGTGTACTTTAAAGAGTTTTGCCCTAGAATAAATTACAGGACATCATGGTGGTAGTTCATCAGGTTGAAAGATCAAATCAGGGATGCTTACCCATATGGCTACTTCCTGGTTTTTCCCTGAATACAACTTCCTCATTCCTTTCCCAGGGGCCAAAAGAAAAGTCCAATCAGCTCCTTACATGATTTTAATGTCAGTGCCAGCACCACCAAATTTCAGATATACCCTATAATCCCATAATCCATCAGAAAAAAAGGGAAACCATTGGTGGCTTGAGGCTCCTCTCCACATTCTTTAAATACAAAGGACACTGCTACTTTTTCTTATATTCTGTGAAAGGGTTTTGGCCCAGACAGGACTCTGTAGCTGGGAAAGCCTCAACCAGAAGCAGGGAGACCCTATCTCCCCACCCCTAGGAATTTACCTGTGATGCCATCTTTCCGCACATGGAAATTTACCTATGGTGCCAAATCTATGACCAGTGGGCTACCTGTGCATCCCTAATGCCTCCTTAGGTTCCACCCAAAACCGAGGCTACTTACACACCTCCATCCCACGTATCCGCCAGAGAGATCACTGGACTCCAGCAGTGGGGGGGGTGCCAGACATCTCTCTTCATGTTCTCGGAATGAAGGCCTCTTTTTGTTTTATATTTCTCATCTTTTGGAAATATTTTCATCTTTTGGAAATAATCCTATCATTGGGCTTCTCTATTGGGCCACAAAATCCTAACAGTACTGATTCTTTTCTATGTATGAAGCTAATCTACCTCCTCAGTAATTCACATGCTCAATGCCATGAGTATCCAATGGAAATTAATGCAGTGGGCTTTTGCTTTACTCTATCAGTGTCAATGCAGTGAATTTAATCCTAAGATAAAAATACATCTTCATACAAGTTTCAAAACAGAATTATTCATCAAAATATATATAGCCAAGGTCCAAGAGGCCTACAGACAGCTTTCAATAATATAATAGAAGCCTTCTAGAAACTGAAAAAATACAGTTTATCTAATTAAAAATTGTTCAATCAGCCAATAATGTAGAAATTTTTCTGAACAATTATAGGTGAACCTTCTCTTTTGTAAGATATAAACTAGTGCCATGGCAAAGTCTATGTCTTGCTAAATAATACAATCAAAGCAATTATTTTACACTTATAATGATTGTTGTATACAATTTTAGATATTGCCAGGACTATAATCACTGGGAATTGTATTAATCACTTGAAACTGCAGGAAAAGGAACAAATTTCAGACATTATAAAAGTATAGTCATGTTAATTTGGCTCATGTTAATAGTATAGGGGAATGAAACTCCTTACCTACTATATATCTGGTATGAGTTTGTGTTCTCTAAAATTGAAGAATGAATTTTAGGAATGATGGAGTTTAAGAGTGGAATATATTTATTGGGAGAAGGAAAGCTTCTGTCTGAGAGACAGGAAAGTTCTGAGTGGGTTGCTAAAGACTCTGTCTTTTTGAGAAACTTGTATAGAGTTAAATCATGGGGTTAGATGGGTCCAGGGGAGGGAAAAATGGGAATCTGAAAGTTAAGCATAAGGCGGGATAGAAATGTGGTCAACCAATAAGGTTAATTGCTCAAGTAAAATTGATTAAATTGGGAGCAAATGGGAGCAAGTCATAGTAAGTGGGCAGGTTTAAGAGCAGAGACTCTTCTTTTAGAGGGTTCGGATGGGGGCTCTTGAGTTCCTCAGGGTGATCAGAGAACTTTTTGGACTGTTTCTCCTTAGCACTTGGTTTTATTTAATTTACCTTTTGTTTTGAGATTTGGCCCACAGCAGGAGGTGATTGTCTCTTCCAATCCTGTAAGCAATCTGAATTTATTTTCTAGCTCCTTTGAGGGGCAAGCCCTGTTGTTATAGGCAGCTGAGTTAGTTAGAAATATATAGCCAGGGAGACAGGATCAGGTCCTAGATGTAGCCAGCTCAGAAGCCCACATACCTTGCAGCTATGTGAAGACAGATACCTCCTGTTATGGGACAGGCCTCAAGAGAAAATACCAAGCAAATGCATCCATGTTCTAAAAGTTGATTTTCTAAATTGTTCCCTATCACCCTGCTGAAGTCAGGAGTCATCCCCCCAATCCCATAGAGGAGAATTACTGCTCTATAAAATGCCTGATTTCTATGACCTCGCTTCCCCATTTGTCTGCAGTGTAAATGATTTTGCCTGAACTATTAATTATATTGGCTAAACATAGCTCTGTCCAAAGTTATGCCCATCTGCCTTGTGAGTTCCCAATTTCCCCCACCTTAAGCCCATCTCACCCCATGATTTTATTCTATAAAGTCCTTAGAAGATACAGAGTCCTTGACAACCCACTTATGACCCTTCCTGCTTTCTCAGACAGAAGCTTTCTGATAGGGTTTTCACTGTGGTAAATGAGAGAATATAAAGTAAAAATGGCCTTTATTCTAAGAAGGTGGATCACATGACCACTAGATGGCGGCCTTTTTCTACTGGATACATGGTGAGGGGGCTTATATCTACTTTTTGACTATGGAGGTGCTTAAAGGTGTCATTGCTGATGTGCCAGTAGCTGATTGGGACTCTTTTCATGCCACAGGTAAGTTGCCTAAGGGAGAGGTAAGTGACCTCAGGGTAAATGACCCCTGGCCTGCTTCCCACTGTGGTAATATCCTATCTAGAGCAAAAACCTTTCACTTTTTTCTCTCAGTAGTATATTCTGCTCTTTACCTCCTTTGTTCCTAAAATTCATTCTTTTATTTTATAGAACACAAACTCCTACCAGACATAGTGGGTCAGGAGTTTCATTCCATTATATAACTATCTGACTGCCTATATTTCTGACTAACAAAGTTGCCTGTAACATTAAGAATTATTTATTTGTTTCACTTAGCATAATGGTAGCAAATAAAATGTACTTAGTGGATGTAGTGAAATATCCAATAAAATTGAAAAGATTATTATCACAGTTTCTCTATCATCACCAGTCATTTTCATCTTTCAACTATATGGGGAAAAATAAGAGCAGCTCTTAGCAAATAACAATGTTATAGTGCACAGTGTATTATTCACTGTAGTTACCATGTTATTTATAGGTACTTCATAGACAACAAAAGAAACATTGAGCTTTTTAATGAACAACTATCAATTTCAATAGTTGTGCTCACTATAGCACTACAGGGTTGACAACTGTAGATTTTCCTTTGGTACCAGGGATTGAACTCCTGACCTTGTGCTTGCCACACAGGTGCTTTGACCACTGAGCTCAATATGCAGCCTAACATCTTTGGATTCTAAATATGATTATTACCAATGCTTACTTTGCCATTGACATACTTAATTAAAAATCTTGTTAATCTACATCTTCAATGAAATTATTTTCTTTCATTGCAGTTTAAAACACTTTTTTTTTAGGTACCAGGGATCAAACTCACAACCTAGCACTTCTCAGGTAGGTGCTTCTGCCGACTGAGCTAAATCCCAGGCATCCATTAAATAATATTTCATTAAACGTTTAAACATTACTTTATCCATTCAAATAGTATTGCTATTTTACTAGAGGAGGTCAAAGTAGAGAGGAATTGATATACAGTCAGAGAGGAAATGGAAACTCAAAGGAGTCAGTGTAAAAACCTAAACACAACAATCCCTGCTAGAGGCAAACCTGAAGAAAGCCAGAAAGTGAAGATGCAGTGACCATGTCTACATGCCTCCTGAAGAGAAAAACAACAGCTTGAAATGTACT